ATAGCTAATTCTACTGGTCTCAAAGACAAAAGTTCAGTTATATAACCCATCAACATACTTCCTGTCCACCCCTCCTCCAGATGAATTAGCTGTGCCGGATGATTAATTTGTCTCCTATAGAAATTATTAATAAATTGGTTCAGTAAGCATGTAATGAAAGGCAGAGTGTAGTGGTGGAACAGGGGTGGGCTACAGACCAGACTCTCCTCGATTGAACTTCTGCCCCAACATTGAAGTAACGTGACCTTGGGCACACTTACAGCATCTCTAAATCCCCATTTCCTTCTCCATAAGATAAGGATCACAATTAATACTTCTTGGTGCTGCTGTGAGGAGTGAATTAAATATAACATGAAAAGTGACCGTATGCCTGTATAACACTCAAAATTGTTACTCTGTAATTTGTTCACTGTTCCCAGAGCACCTGTAACGTCCTAGGCACCATACTTGACACTGTGGTTGTTAAAGCTTCAAGAAGACATGCAAGAAGCTTGTGATGGAATGGAGGGGCTTAAGAAACCCAGAAATAGCTCTGTAGCATAGGAAAGGTCTTGCATATGTGTAACATTAGAACGATACCTCCCTTGACTGATATCAAAATTGTAGTTACATTCTCTTCCAGAAAATGGAATGATTCAATCTGTTAAGAATCCGTGTGCTTGATTTGCTGTTTGGTAACTAACACTGATATGTGGGCTACCCCATGTAGGTAAATAGGGTCACATGAAAGGCATGCAATGGCCCCACTGGTACATTTATCTGAAAAGTGACAGACAAGTACCTACGTGGTACTTTCTCGACTACTTGTGAACATCACACAGCACTTTAGGTTAGAATTTGAAACCTAAAACAAATGGATCATCACACTACAAAAACTCAGACATAAGTCACTTTCTCTACATCTGTGTGTCTTCAAAGCTCAACGCAATAGTAATAATGCACTATCCAGTCCCCCCTTCCTTTGTAGAGATCTGCTGAAGATCTCTACATGCCTCACCCAGGGTAGGCACAGGGGATGCAAAGATGAAGAGGATGGCATCTGTCTTCCTAGAGTATACCATTACAGAAGGGGCACAGACAAGTGAAATTTTCATATTATGTGATTAATGCTATGACAAAGAGAGCTATCCCAGAGTGCTATGTAAGTTCATAGGAGGGGACAGTCCACCAAGCCTCAGCCAGTGAGGGAATGCTGCCTGGAGGAGGTGAGTTCTACACTGAGGCCTAGACGATGAGTAGAAATTAACCAAGTGAAGGGTGCTTTAGTCAGTGCAAACAGCAGATCCAAAGGGCATGGTATATTAAGGAAGGGAGGGATTCGGTATGGCTGAAAAGGAACATGAGAGACAATATTTGCTGGGTACAGATATTGTATCACGCATACATACATACATACAGTGAAGAACCTTGATCCCTACTATGATGATTCAGCTCATAGGCTTCTCCTAATTTTCTAGGAAATGCAGAGGAAAACAACAACAACAAGAACAACATGGGATTCATTTTGTCATGGTAGAAAATAATTTTATGTAAAAATGTGAGAAATAGCTACATAATATAACTTTTCCACTTAGAAGAAACACAGGAAGCAGTATACTGTATTGTGTGTGTGTGTATATATATATATGTGTGTGTGTGTGTGTATATATATATATGTATATATACATACAATTTTTCAATTCTTTACAAGTGCTCAACCTTTTAGTAACTTGGGTTTAATTCTTTATAGCACTTTAAAAATAACACAGTAAACAAATGACCAGGATTCTGTAGTGTCTTTGAAGACTTTTAAAATCCATATTTAATTTTTTCTCTGATGTAGACCCTCAAAGAAGTTTGGGTTAATTATAAGGTATATCTATATTACTACTCCTTTGGGTGAGAGCTCATCACATTTCATAAACTTAATGGGATGAATAAGAATTGATGCAACACTAAGAGATTACACAGGAATTTCTGTAGTGACACTGTAGCCAATTAATGAAGCTAATTTCTCAGTAGGCAATGTGGTACCTTTAAAAAATGCATATAATTAAAGGATTTTTCTCTTTCATTTATGGTTAATATGCAAATCTGATATTCATAAATTCATTCCAGATAGAGGAAAAGCAATAAAATTTTTATAATTTGGCAGACTTTAAATCATTTAAGATACGATAATAAGTTATTGAAGAAAGATGTTGAAAAATTAATAGAATCCCCTTAATAGCAAAGAAAATGTTAGTACTTTGCAGAGAGAAAATTCTCCTCAAATTTCCTATTCAACACAAAGAAAAGAATTTCCCAAAGTTCACCTAATACATATTTTTAGAAGACAAAAATCATTCACAGAAGTACAAAGGTAGGTGCTACGATCAGACACAAAATGAACCATGGTCCTGACCCCCATAGAGCTAAGTACAAAGCAGAACAGATTACCCTCTCTCTGTAACAGTATGATTTTCAGGATCCCACCACTAATGGAATAGAACATTCCTTGAATCTGGACTACGAGAAAACTAGGGAAAGAAACTAGGGAAAGATTGAGTTGACAATCCTACATTCCCTTCAGCATATTTGAGGGCTTTTTGAGAAAGAGAAGGGATATTAGCTAGGGAGATCCAGTGCCCTAGTTCTAAGTCATTTGAAGTACATTTACTCCCTCTGCTATTTGATATGCCTCAATAACCACTCCCTTTCTTATTTTCCTACTCCTCTATCACACCAGCACACCTCCACCACTTACCTTCATTATTTGGAAACATCAGCTTGACAGAAAGAGCCATGAAAGATACATGTGATTTTGATATTCATTCTTCCAACACTTCTAAGATGTCTGAGGACAGAGGAACACCCTGCTTAAGAGTCTGAAGTGCTGTTATGTATTCAAAGATTCAAACCACTCATCTCTTAAGTCTGCAAGTACAAAACTATCCCGTGGTGGTGACAAGTGAGTGTTACAAGTGATGTGCCCTGGGCTCGGGAAGATGGAAGAGAAGTTAGGTATGCTGGAGTTACTGGCGGAGGCATTTAAATAAATACATACATACGTATTTACTTACCACCCACCACATGCCAAGTATCCAATGCTGTGAAGCAAGTATTATTGTTCCCATTTTAAGGATTAGAAAACACAGTCATCAAGAAGACAAGAGATTTTCCTTAAATAGTTAAGGAACAGAGCCAAGATTTGGGCCTAGACCTTTCAGTCCAGCACTTTTCCCATGATACTAGCCCACTTCTTGGACGTGGCAAGGTGCTAATTGGGTCTTGAAAGAGAGATAGGAGCAAGGCATTGAGAGAAGTGTGGAAGGAAGAGAAGGGTGTCACGGACCTGGTCGCCCTGAAGGGTACTACTGGGACCCACTGCCACCACAGACTGTCTTCCACATTTTTCTCTCTAGTAAGACATTAGAGAAGAGGTGATTGGGAAAGAAAACATCTTACTTGACAATTCTGCTCTTGAGGGTACCAATTTTGGAGGAGCACAGCCTGGAGGGATCACTCTTAGGGGTGGGAACCCTTAGATAACAATTTTAAGACTTTCTGTCTTCAGTAGTTTAGAAAGCCCAGTGCACTTGACTCATAAAATTCCATCATGTTCTCACTGTCCTTCATTCTGGTCTCTTCCAGACACTAGGAAACATTATATAGAAATTCAGAATACAACAGAAATTAAGTGGACTGGAGGAGGCAAAACGTTGCTTTGCCAAACCATAAATTGGCAATGGTTTTTTTCATCAGGCAAAGGACACCCAGAATATGCAGATAGTTGATTAAAAGTAATATAATGTGGTAGAGAAGTGTTAAGATGTACATAAGCGTCCAGTTTAAAATCAACATTAGAGTAAAACTTGTAAATTGTGTGAATTGCTAAGTAGTATTTAATTAATTTAATTAGTTTATCATCGTGAGCATGGCTGATAAGAGAGGTGACTAATATCTGGAGCAAAAGGGCACGTGTTCACATGCCTAGTAAAGGCTTCTGTCTGTATCTGCAGTGGTTTTCAAACTTGAAGGTGGGTCTGAGCTGCTGGGAGGCTTGTCAAAATGTAGATTTCCAGGCCCCTTTCCCAGAGGTTCTGATTTAGTGGTTCTAGAGTAGGGTTTCTTAATTTTGGCACTACTGATATTTTAAGTGAGATGATTTTCTTGTGTGGGAACTTCCCTGTGCCTTGTAGGTGGCTGAGCTGCATTTCAGGTCCACTAGATACTCATAACATCATTTCTCTGGGCCTTTTTCCAGATGTTGATAAATGTCCCCTAGGGGCAAAAATCACTCTTCTCCTCCTTGGGTGAGGTGTCTAGGGTGAAGCCTAGGGACTGCATTTCTAATAAGAACATCCAGGTGGTTTTGATGAATATGGTCAGTGGACCAAAGCTGAGAAACACTGAACTAATGTGTTACATTATGTCCCCTCCAAAATTCATACATTAAAGTCCTAACCCTCAATATCTCAAAATGTGACCCTATTTGGAAACAGTCATTACAGATTTAGTTAAGATAAGGTCATACTGGGTTAGGGTGGGGCCCTAATCCAGTAGGACTGCTGTCTGTATAAAAAGGGAAAATTTGGACCCAAGAGATAGGCACACAGGGAAAATGCCATGCAAGCCAAAGAACTACCAGAAGCCAGGAGAAAGGGGCGGGATAGATTCTTCCATAGCTCCCACAGGGGGAGCATGGCCCTGCAGACACCTTGATCTCATACTTCTAGCCTCCAGAACTGTGAGACAATAAATTTCTGTTGCTTAAGCCACTCAGTTTGTGGTACTTTGTTACAGCAGCCCTAACAAACTAACACATAAAGAATAAAACACAAGTCAGAGTTTAGCACTGGGACATTTAAAGCTGGATCAGAGAGAAAAATGGAAAGATTACAGATTAGCACCGATTCCTAATTTTATCTTTCTCAGCACCTGACATAAAATAGGGGTTGATAGTTTTTATTTTTATTAGACACTCTCCAATATGTCTTGTCTAAGTTAAATATTAGGAGCAAAATCTTATAATCTGCTACCTGATAGGGTTGAAATTGCCAGTGTTCCATTTTGAAGTTTTCATCTGGATTATATAGTAATTGGATAGGCTTGAGTCTGGAGTTGCCTAGAAGACAAATGGAATTAATTAATTATGCCACTGTCCATAGAAAATGTAATATGTAAATGTGAAATTCCATACATGGCAAAAAAGCATTGACTGATCACACTGTAGCTTTAAAAAACGTGTTGACTGTTTCAGGTCACAAAGGCACTATTTAGAGTACAGCAAGAGGGACCATGTGTCCAGCAGGCCACACAGTCATGTGCCTAACCCAAGTAAGCAATTCATACTCTCTCACTGAAAGAATGAAGCCCTTGGTATTAAAGGAGCTTAGGAGTCATGTACTCTGATAGTTTCATTTGCAATATAAGTGAACACTGTTGTTGGTTATTAATTATCAGAAGACAAAAATAAGAGGCCAGTGGCAAATGGCACTCTTTTTTTCCAGAAGATATGAGAATCATTTAATAGATATCTTAGTTCCTGTTTCTTCCCACAATTGAATAGGGGGGAGAAATGGAAACTAGCCTCCTTGCCTCAAGATTTTAGAATGAAATGTTGTAAAGCTTCTATTGCAGCTGAAGAGCCCCAACATTTATTTTTCCGGCTCCCATAAACATAAATAGTTCATGATAAAGAATGGTAAGCTCCTTGGGGCGCCTGGGTGGCTCGGTCGGTTTGGCGTCCGACTTCGGCTCAGGTCATGATCTCACCGTTCCTGAGTTCGAGCCCCGCGTCGGCTCTGTGCTGACAGCTCAGAGCCTGGAGCCTGCTTCGGATTCTGTGTCTCCCTCTCTCTCTGCTCCTACCCTGCTCATGCTCTGTCTCTCTCTGTCTCAAAAATAAATAAAAACATTACATTTTTTTTTAAAAGAATGCTAGGCTCCTAGAAATGCCTACAAATTAAGCTGAGTGGTCAAATACAAACAAGGTTAGATCTAGACCGTTTAAGTGCCTTCCCCAAATCAGGATAAACTAACAGGACATTAGCCTGGAAGCCTCTGCCAAATTCTAAACAACTTTACCTCAGTAAATCCCCTCACCTTTAATCTAGGAAACTTTCCAACATGCTCTTCAGTCACATGAAGTTGCCGTCAGAGCCCAGTATACCTCATGTGTCCCTGGAACGGGTTTGCCTCTTGGGGGCAAAGTGGCAGGGTGGATAACTAGGTTTGGTATGAGGTCTAAATGGCCCCAGAAGGTTAGGATAGGGACTGCAGATTCTCCAGGCTATTTTCTTTTTCCAAAAGAGGGCAAGACCAGCAAAGAACGGACTGTTCTCCGAAGGGATAGCCGCCCTCGGACAAAACAGAAATCCGGTGGTTTTTATAGCAACACTAATAGAATAGGCCTTCTCTGACCCCTCCAATGGTTTTTTTTCTATTACTGAATCCTCTCACCCCTTCTTCCCCCAGCGTGCCTCTCTTCTCACTCACAATCTCCACGCCCCCTCCTCACTCACCACCACCCTCCAACAAAGGTAGGGGCCCACGGCCGACCGCAGACTTTCGGGTCCACTGTGGCCAGCCCCAGTCTAGGGCGGTTGCCTAGATGTAAATTTGACATCGAGAAATCTAATCTCCCACGTCCGATCTCCGGTTGTTGTGCCTCTAGGGGGAGGCAGAACAGGTGAGGGCGGCTGGAACAAACCAGTTCCGGCACAGTCCGAAAGGGTGAAGTGAGGGTGCGAGGCGAGGAAAGGAGACCACCGCGCGCTAAGTAAAAGGAGGCGCGCCCCAAGCACTGCCTGTCTCCCTGGGATCACCTTGCCTTGACCTACTTGAGCCCAGCAGGAAGGGAACGAACCCAAGGGGGCGACGGAGAAGGACGGGGCGGGGCGAACGGTGGGCGGGGCCGCGAGCCGGAGCTTTCTGGTGCTCGCTTGTGATTCGCTGACGGTTTGAGCCGGAAGCAGCCTGGAGGCATTGGCGGCGGCGGCGGCGGGGCACGTGGTGACGTGCGAGGGGGTGCGGCGCGAGCGGGCGGCGGCGGCGGCGGCGGCGGCGGCGGCGGCGGCAGCAGTGTCTCCGGGACGCGCGTGGAGGTCGGTCGCTCAGAGCTGCTCGGCAGTTTCTCCGCCTGCTGCTTTGGCGCGGCAGTGCCAGCGAGCGAGTGAGCGAGTCCCCACGAACCCTCGGTGGCCCTGCCCCCTCCTCGCAGCCTCCGCTCCTCTTCCCGCTCGATCGCTCCCCCCCTCCGCGGCCTCGAGGCGCTTTCCGTTGCGCCGATTCCCGCCCGCTTCCTCCTACTCCCCATCGAAGCACCAGACATGAGTTTTTCCATCTCTTCAGAGATGAACCAGGTAATACGCGCAGGTCCTAGACGGTGGAAGAGGAAGAGGGTGCGACCGGAGTCCTTGATGAGAGATGGCGCGGGCGGCTGGGGGAGACGGTGCGAGACGCGGAGCGGCGTTCTGGTCCCGGGGGAGGACGCTCCAAGTCGCTGCCGCGGCTTTCTGGGGGCGAGGAGCCGGCGCCGCGCGGGGCCCGCGCTCCTGGAGCTGCCATGGTTGCCGGGTCGCGTCGGCTGCTGAGGCGCGTGCCGGCCGCCTCGGAGAGAGCTGGGGCATAGGAAGTAGGGCGGGAGTTCTTACTCGAGGGAACCTCGTGGGCCTGGGTCAGGGCGCCACGGGGCAGGGATGACTACCGGAAGGAGGGCGCGGGAATCTCTGTATTCCCGCTGTCAGGAATCGACTCCTAGTGTCTGGGTTTAACCGAGGTCCCGACTTTCCGCCCGGAGACCTCCCAGGACCCGGCGCATGTGGACCGGGAGCCGGTCCAAGGCGGCATCTGTGCCTGGGGCCTGGAGTGGGGTGGCACCGCGTCCAAGATCGCCGTGGGCCGCGGGGTCCTTTGTTCCCGCTCCACGTTGCCCGCTTTTCTTGCCAAGCGCGGGGAGAAGAGGGCGGGAGGAGGGAGGGAGCGGCTGCCCTGACGTGTCGGCTCTGAATGACTGCTTGGCCGGCCAATCCCGGCCGGGGGTGTGCGAGCGCTGGGCGCCTTGCCTTCCAGCCTTGGGAGTAGTGGGCGCCCGCCAGGCCGCGCGGGGAGGAAGGCCTGGGGCTACAGGACACTCCAGTCACTCTGGGGCCATCGCCACTTTCCTTTTTACCAAAGCAATCGGCGGAGAGGTTTGCTCTTTTTCTGTCCTTATACGCATCTTGCAAAAGGGTGTTTATAAGTTCTTAGTGGTAGGAAAGTATCAGGCAATATCAGATTGAGAATGTAAGAAGACTTAGACGCAAATATTTTAGAAGTGGGTTTACTTTTTTCCCCAATACATAGTAGACAAATCTATTGTTTGAAACATCTGACATTTCAAAACCTATAGCAAGTAGAAATCAGATGCCTGAAGACCTGGTTTCCTAATGTCTGTTGCCAGTGATGGAGGGGATTAGAATACCGTGGTATCAAGCTGTTCTTTGAGGACTTTGTGTGTGGTGATCTTCTGTCTAGTAATAAGTAACAGCTCTGGAAGCTTAGTACTATTAACAGTTGAACAAGTACGGCATGGACTAGACTAGTCAGAAGCCATATTTTTCTTTTAATAATTCTAGAACTAGCAGTTGATTTAAGGATAGCAAAATACTGGTGAATAGCATTGGGCATAATCCTGCTGTAACTTCTGTCTTAAAGATGCTGAGGAGAGTAGTTGTATTTGCATATCTGGTGATGAGGCAAACACTATTTAGAATTGGATTAACAATAGTATCATTTAATGCCATCTGGCAGGCTACTTCTCAAGTGTCTATAATTTGGTAGCTGGTGGTAAAACCAGATTAAAACCATTGACCTAAAAGAGAACCAGAATGATTTTCCTCTGTGTTTTTCTAATAAATGAAATCACTGTAATTAATAGATAGTAATTTTTTAATTCATCTTAATTTGTAGTTCTGTTTTTCTAAATTTACCCCCCAAAACAGGGATTCCCAGGTTTTGGTTTTGGTTTTTTTGTGGTTTTTTTGCGCCCCCCCCCCCCCCCCGCCTTTTCTTTACTTTTTGTTCTTGTTTTAAAGTAGGCTTCATACCCAGCATGGAGCCCAACACTGGGCTTGAACTCACGACCTTGAGATCAAGACTTGAGCTGAGATCCAGTCGGAGACTGAGCTACCCAGGCACTCCTAAATTAGTGTCTTTTTGGCTACTTTGGAGTGGGGTTTTGTTTTTCTTGCTTGAGATATAGTTTAGATGGCAATTGATGTCATTTTACAAGTGTGGTTTTTTAATGTAAAATGTTCTCTTATTGAGGAAATGTCTTAATCACTGAATACTAAGATGAAGTACCCCTGAAAATCATTTCATTGACTTTTCAACAATATGATTTTGAACCTCCTTGAAGGATCTCTTAGAGGCTGAAAAGATCCTCCTACCTACTGTGCTAGAGAGTGTGAATGGAGGAATTATGAACAAGGAAGTGATCTCTGGGTTTTTGTTAGAAGCACAGAAAAGACATGCTCATCTTCGCTTGCAAGCTTGAATCACCACCTTGTAAATGATTTCTAAACCTATCTGTATTTTTCCACCTATCAGATCAGTATTCTTACCCTTTTGGTATCAACCTAGATACCCAACAGGTACCTTAGCATAAAAAGCAAATTCCTCTTATTCTTCCTTCCTAACTTTGAGCATGCAGCAAACTAAAGATAACTGTTGGGTTTTTTGGAATTCTAATTTTGGTACTAATTTTGATAAGGATACCACACATATCCAAGCTAAAATATCCTTACTGCCTTAGGATAAGCAGGGGTATATAATATCTTAATGTCCCTGCTTCCGTATTTTACCTGTTCCTCCAGAACATCCCCCACATTTCTGCTAGAAATGTTCTTGCTATAATCCTTTTCTATTCTCCAGCATCGTTTAACCCTTAGCATTGATCTTTCTTTCTTCCTCTCGCTCTGTTTACCATATGCATGCTAATAGCTGCAGTTTCTGGAATACGTATGCTGTCATACCCCTTTCCTCTTTTGTTTGAGCTAATTTTCACTGCTTGATTTACCTGTCTTTTTTGGTTGGTCTGTGAAGTATTCAGGGCTGAAGAATGGCGTTAACTCCATTGGTATTATGAGCATCCCATTCCATATTGTGCCTGCCATATGTTTGGTGCCATAAATGTTTGTGGGATGTATAAGAGTTCAGAACAATGAGGATGGAGCAAGTGAGTGAGTTTGGTGAGTTTTGATATAGATGATGGTGACAGTAGTTTCAGAGGTGACACTGGGAATTTGTAACTTCTGGTCTTACAGATATTTACTTTGTATTATTATAAAGTCTGTCCTTTAAAAATAGAGTTTATGTTGTGAGTGGGCTGCCCTCAAAACATTGCCTTGAAACTTAAATATTTGTAATTTTCCTTGAGCTTTTAAGGATGCTTTGGAAGTTTGGTGATAACATTTTATCTTCCACTTACTGAAGGCCCGAAAAGAATTTGGAGGGGAGGCCACATTGTGCCTACCTTTCTTACAACTCTTGGATAAGACCTGTTGAACTGTATTTCAGTTAAGTTAATCTTTTGGGGGTCTGTGGTAACATAACATGTGGGCTTCTGGTGGTTACTAAAGCAGTTTAATTACTCATTTATGAGTCTTCTGTTTCCCTTTTCTTGCACTGGCCATACTAAGGAACTGAAGTGTATTTACCAGAATGTATTGTATTTGACCCAGTTTTAATTTTAAAAGTGGATTAATGGAATGTATATTTTAAATACCAAAGAAAAAATTTTTTAATTTTAATTCCAGTGTAGTTGTGTTAGTTTCAGGTGTGCAATATAGTGATTCAGTAGATCCATATTTTGCTCAGTGCTATTAAGATAAGTGTACCCTTAATCCGCTTCACTTTTTCACCTGTACCCACCTTCTCTCTGGTAACCATCTGTTTGTTCTCTATAGTTAAGAGTCTATTTTTTGGTTTGTCTCTCTCTTTTTTTTTTTTTTCTTCATTTGTTTTTTAAATTCCACATATGCGTGAAATCATGTATTTGTCTTTCTCTGGTGTATTTTGGTTAGCATTATACTCTCTAGATCTGTCCATGTTGTTGCAAATGTTAAGATTTCATTCTTTTTTATGGCTGAGTAATACCCCATTTTGTGAGTATGTGTATGTGTTTACATGTACCCCACATCCTCTTTATTCATTCGTCTATCAGTGGACACTTAGGCTGCTTCTGTAGTTTGGCTGTTGTAAATAATGCTGCAATAAACATAGGGGTTCATATATTCCTTTGAATTAGTATTTTCGTATTCTTTAAATGCCAAAGAAGATTTTAAGTTTTATTCTTTTATATAACACTAGGATGGTGGGGCTTTTGGTTAGGCTTTTTAAAGAAAAAAAATCTGCTCACATTTTTATTCCACCAGTTACTGAGCTTGAGTTTCATAGACCAAACTGAGATCTTCTGTACATTTTTAGAATAGTTTGAAACTCAGTTTGCCCAGTGCTTACTTTAGTGAGAGTGAATGTGAACACTCAAAGACATGGTTTGTAGGCAGGAGTTGATAAGACCTCCTCCAGCTTAGGGGTAGGTGAGAGTAGGGGCCTACAGTATGTGAGGACAGTAATTGAGTAAATAAGTTTGCTGCATTAACTTAAATGTCACATGATCTTGGGCTAGCTCTTAAAATCAAGTAGGGTTGTATTGATCATTAAAGAGATAAGGATCATACTAAGATCTTGATATACTAGAAGGTCATCAAATACAAAATGTAGAACTCACTCTGTTGCAGAACTAATAATACTGTACAAATGTGTATGCCAAGAGTTGCTCTAGAAGTTCTCCAGTGTTTGCTCCCAATGGACTGAAGTGATTTTAACCATGTCTTGTTTTCCCTCAAAATTTAAGGTAGAGCTTCCAAATTATCAAACATAAATAGATGCCATTTTTATTCTTGGTTAGATCAAGACTACTTTACAGAAAAACACTGAATAATGAATAAAACTGGTCAGCATTTAAAATGTTTCTAAATCTCTGTATCACAATGTTTATGGTTTTTCAGAAAGCACATTTTAAATATATTGCCATAATTTGCATGGAAGCTCCCTCTGTCCTCCTCATCCCATTTCCCCTTCTTTTTTAATTTGAGCTGGGTCTTGGCTGAAAATGTTTGAAGGTTTCCTTAGGATAGTGTGTTTTCTCTGTGTACATGGAATTGTGTGGTAATTGGGAATCATTTATTAGAACTGATTTCTTAAAAGCTGAACAAACTAATGTAGGTGCAACTGTAGAGCAGAGGAAACCAGTATTACATAATGGTATGATACAGTTTCATTGCAGGGGTAAGCATTGACAACAATCCCAACCTGAGTCAGAATTACTCAGGTTTCTTTGAAATAGAACCTAAGTTATGGAGAAACCAGTTAGGACATATGGGTCAGACCCATTACAGATTGTGCATGTGTTGAACTTAACACGACAGTTTGTTCACTTAGAGGTGGACCAGCCTTCAGTGGATTCTGGGTTAAGTGATTACTCATTCACCCAAATACAATTGTTAGATTTAGAATTCTGTGTATGATTGATGCATAAGGAAAATCCAGGTAATTTTAAGATGTCCGTTTTAAAAAGTATGCATGTCTTTCAAATAATTCACTTAGTTCTAGTTTCCTGAATTAGACAGTGGTGACATAGCAGTTCAGGTGATTAAAAAATAAGAACCATCTGAATTTGACACTTGTAGTTGATGACTTGAAAATGAGGTAGGAGGACTGAATATGATTACTTTGCAGATTTGGTTTGGACCAGAACTATTCCAGTGGGAGTTTATTACTGTAAACGAGAAAAAGGGCCATATAGAGAACAGATATCAGTATTTTCCCTTTTGTTTATTTAGTTCACTTCAACAAAGTGCTCATCTTTATATTTATGTTTCTAGGCTAGTTTTGGTAGTGGGGAGATGGGATGGATACAAAGATGAGCAAGACAGAGGCTCTGCCTTCCAGGACCTTAAATCAAGGAAGATAAGGAGGTCCACAGAAGCCAAAACCAGAGCAGATCAGCTGGAAGATGACATAAGAGAAGGTTTAGTATGTGGAAGATAGGGAGAAACTTCTCTCCACTGGGGGGATTGGGAAGGGCTCTATGGAGGTAAGATTTTATCTAGCAGAGGTTGGGTTAAGGGTATTCCAAGAACAGAGAACAACTTGAACAAAGGTACAGAGACTGGGAAGAGCAGACCACATTTTGGGAAATAGTATATCTGGTTTGACTGGAACATTGTATACACGTCTGGGAATGATGCCCAAAGGTTGCTTGCTGGCCGGTAAAAATGCACAGGAATCTAATAGTAAAGAATATTAGATTTAACCAATATTTATATTTGTTCTCTAATCTTGTGCTTACATATCTCACTTATTGATACACGTTGTTAGCTTCTGTCTTCCAGGGAAGGGTGTTTTGTTTTTTGATCACCTGAATAGTTGCAGGTTAAGTGAAAAATGTTTAGGTATAATTGCATTTGTCTTGGTTATTTTCTGTGTTAGAGCCATGTACATCAACATTTCTTTCAGATAAGGACTTTGTATGATATAATCCACTTAGATCAATGACAGTCTTTGATCATTCTGAGTATCTAAAATTTGTCATTATTGCAGATTATGATGCATGATTATCACAGAAGAAATTCATGTCTATAGCTTTTAAGGACTTGATTACATCATTTCAAGCCTGATAGTTTTGGAATCACCATTAGAGCTTAAGACACCTCTGCCTTCACTTCAACCACCCGTCTTCATACCTTGAGGAAGTGCTGAGTTTTAACACTCCTTTGTCCTTGGATTATTTAAGACATCTCAGAAATACATTTCTCACCAGTTCAGTAGGTAAGTGAATATTCGGGCCCAATGAAACATTAAGACACATTGTTTTTCAGAAGACTATGCCAGTACACTAATAGCCTTTTCATAATTTTTTTAAAGGGGAAGTCAGTAATCATTTGTAGAAAAAAAAATTCTATTTTTTTCTTTTTGTAAACTTTTGAATTTATTTATTTTTTTTTTTTAATTTTTTTCAACGTTTTTTAAATTTATTTTTGGGACAGAGAGAGACAGAGCATGAACGGGGGAGGGGCAGAGAGAGAGGGAGACACAGAATTGGAAACAGGCTCCAGGCTCCGAGCCATCAGCCCAGAGCCTGACGTGGGGCTCGAACTCATGGACTGCGAGATGGTGACCTGGCTGAAGTCGGACGCTTAACCGACTGCGCCACCCAGGCGCCCCAATAAACTTTTGAATTTAAATCAGGGCAAACTAAAATCTATTACTGCTTTTTAATGATGGCTTTGTATAGGCATTAGTCAGTTCACAAGGTGAAATGGACATTTTTTAAAAGAACATTAAGTGTCTAGCATGTATTCCTAGGAGATAAGTGATTTGGAATATCTGAAACTTGCAGAGGGGACAGATTTAAGTTTGCCTATTTATCCATTTCTCTCATTTGGGAGTAAAGGAATGACAGCAACCCAAATCAAGGAAACCTAGAAGTGATGACCACATTACATCCTTCCAGGCTTCTTAAATTGCTCATTGTATGGGTTTGGGCAGGGTGGGTTTACATTTCTTTCCCTTCCCAATGAATGTTCAGGGAAACCTGGGCAAAAGTGTTGAGATAGTCACTGCTGTATGAATCCTTAAAAAGACTGAGGACCAAAATACAGCTGTACAAAGACTTGGACATTCAGTGCCAGTGTTTTCAGCAGTGTTTTTGTGTAATAAAATTTTTGTGTTGTTGATAGGATGGAATTTCAAAATAAAGATACTGTATTACTCTTTAAGGTATAATTATAAAAATCATTGTTCACTAGTAAAATAACTTGGCTTTTTTTGTGCTCTTTAGCCAAATTTGTAAGGAAAAATGATTCCCAATGGATATTTAATGTTTGAAGACGAAAACTTTATTGAGTCTTCTGTTGCCAAATTAAATGCCCTGAGGAAAAGTGGCCAGTTCTGTGATGTTCGACTCCAGGTATTTAAAACTTAATTTGGAAACCTACAAAATTAATATTTTATTTCTAAAAGCAGTAAGTTCTTGGATATGCTTATTTTCTTTTTCATGGTAGGCATTTGA